TAGGGTTTAAGGTATTGATTGATAAACAAATTTCATTCAATCCAATTAGAAATTGAGCAAATCATGCTTGTCTCAAACTCGTTTTGATTGTTTAATTGAAAACAGACGATAACCCTAATTTTAAAATGTTGCAGGGTTTATAAGCGAGTCTATATAGAAAATCTGGGCTTTTTCTTATTGGTTAGATGTGTTTGCTTTGCACGAGAATCCCATAAGTTTCAATCTTTTTCTTATGGGTTTTGTGTATCTTATTGTTTAGCCGAATTTCGACTTATCTGTTTGTAATCTGTGTGAAATTTTGTGGCTTTTGATACTGTTGTACTAACGATTTGTTCTTCTTAAGTTAGTGATTTGCAATGTTCAAATTAAGATCTTACTTAGTGTTACTGTTTATGGATTTTGTGTATCCGTTCTCTGTTTATGGATTATGTGATTTGGTATGATTATTTAGTGGCTTTAGATACAGTGTCTTCAAGAATTTATACCTAAAGACTTGTTCTTTTGACTTAGTGATTTGCATGTATGGTTTTGCTTCTGTTTTATATTCTTTTGAATCATTCTCCCTTCGATTGTTAGGTGCGAAACTGTTTGTCTCTATTCTACAAAAACATGGAATGCAACAAGGAAGAAGCTGTAAGGGCAATGGATATTGCTAAGAGGAAAGTTACAGAGAATGATTACAACGGGGCAAAGAAATTTGCAGAAAAGGCTCAGAATTTATATCCCAAGCTTGAAGGTTTGAAACAAGTGTCGATGATGATCGATGTGTATATCGTGGCAGGGAACAAAATCAGCGGAGGCGAATCTGATTGGTATGGAATTCTTGGTGTTGATCCGTTGGCTGATGATGAAGTAGTGAAGAAACAGTACAAGAAGTTAGCTCTTTTGCTTCATCCGGATAAGAACAAATGTAAAGGCGCAGAAGAAGCGTTTAAGTTGGTTTCGGAAGCTTGGTGTTTGTTGTCTGATAAGGTTAAGAGAATTGCTTATGATCAGAAGAGGAAATCGAAACAAGTTAAACCGAGAAAGAGTCGGAAGCCAAAACAACCACCAAATCAGCCACCAAACCAGCGGAAACAGCCACCGAACCAGCGGAAACAACCACCAAACCAGCAGCAACAACCACCAAACCAGCAGCAACAGCAACCAAGCCAGCCAAAACAACCACCAAACCAGCAGAAACAACCACCAAGCCAGCCGAAACAGCCACCAAACCAGCAGAAGCAACCATCAAACCAACCAAGTTCTAGTGGGGTTCGAAATGATAGATCTAGAAGCAAAAAGCCCACTTCGAAAGTCGGTACATTCTGGACAATGTGCGACAAATGCAAGACACCATATGAATATGTGAGGGTTTTTTATTTTAACAAGACTTTGATTTGTCGAACTTGCCATCAGACTTTTATTGCAACCGAGAAAGAGCAAACACCAACCGAGAAAGAGAAAACACCAGAAGCAACAAACAAGAAGGCAAACAGTGCTTCTTCTTGTGGAAGAGATCCTTCTCTAACTGTTAATGTTGGCTATAGTTTTCAATGGGATTGTTCGACATCAAGAATGGTCGATTCTGACTGCGGAAATGTGGCGAATCAAGCAGAAGAAAGAGCGGAAAGAGGAGTTGAAGGTTCCCAAGAAGATGCTGCTAAGGGAATTGCAAACTCTGATTTTAAAGTAGAAGAGAGGGTTCTTAAGAAGCTTAGGACTGATGATTATGCAGAAGCAAGTGGTGGAATCAAGGTGTGAAATAAGAAGTGTGAAATTTTAGTGATTTATCTCTGTTACGATTATTGTATATGATGAATATTTTGCATTTTAGACTTAGGAAAAAGTAACAGTAGAACAAGGGAAGTTCTTCTCCTATCATCATCTTCAATGTGAAATGTCCGAAGCTTGACACTATTTTATGTTAAAAATGTGGTGTGCTTTGTACAAATTGGAACACAAAAAGTGAAAATTAGGATTTGTTTGATCCGAGTTATAGTTTTTGTTTACCTTTATCATGACTAAATTGACGTTTTGGATTTTGATTAATTTTAGTTGATGCAATTCATGACCGAATTAGAACAGTTTATTATACGAATTAAACATTTTTTTAACATTTTTTTTTATGACAACGTGAGCCAATTAATCAAAGTGGGTCCACGTAAATTGTCACGTTTCCAATTTGAAAAAGAAAAAAGGAATAATCCTCTTTTTCTTCCGCCCCTTAATTCTCAAAAGTTTTCACTTTTTCCCCAAATGTTATCAACAAAATCCTTGTATCGGTATATTCGTTAAAAATCCAATTTTTCCATTTCTCGCGTTTCTCTAGAGTTAGGGTTTGACGAACGCATCTAGCCCTCTTCAATTCGCAATCGAAGAAGCAATAACCACCGGGTTCGTATTGTTTTCGATTAGGGTTTTTATTTTTTTCCGTTGATTTCTTGATTGAAATCATCTTTTTCTCTTGTAATTTTTCTGGGCTTTGTTGGATTTTCACAAACGTTCGCATCTTTCGGATCTACTTTTCTTCGCTTGTCTCTGGATCGTTTCTGAAAACTGCCCAGTTAATATAGTCTCGAATTCGTTTCGTAATTTTTGGTTTTTCTCGGATTCCTCTGTGAACAAAAAAAAATCCAACTTTTCATGGAGAAATTGCTCGATTATGTCTTATCAGCTGGTCACAACACTGTCTGGCCTGTAAATTTGGTTTAGCTATGTTTTTTTCTTCTTCTGATGATTAGTGTTATCAGGTTGGATATATACCCACTTTTTTCTTCTGATACCATTGTCTTGTTCAATACTGGTTGTATTTTTCATTCTTTGTCATTGACCTTGCCCAGTTGATTCCTCTTCTTTCAGTTACCTAAAGAGCTTGCATTTCGTATTCTATATAAAGCTTTGACGCAGAGGTTAAGGTTCTGTAGCTTCATTTGCTGGGAACACAACTTGAGCAGGTATAAATCTTAGCTCATGGATAAGCAAACTACTTTTTTCTTGCATCTCTTAGAAATGTATAACATGGCTGATTACTGTTGTGAAGTAACACGCATTTGTTGCATTCGTTCTGCGTTTTGCTAGATCGGGCTCGAAAAGATACCAATGGCTGGAGTATTAGGTGGGGAATGTTCATACAGTGAGAGTGGCATTTCAACTTACTCCAGGAATTCCAATGAAAAGCAGGACGAGGGTGCCCGTTGGTATTTTGGAAGAAAAGAAATAGAAGAAAACTCACCGTCAAGGTTGGATAGTATTGACTTAAAGAAGGAAACATACCTCCGCAAGTCATACTGTACATTTTTGCAGGACTTGGGCATGAGATTAAAAGTGTAAGTATAATGTTCTCACCTCTTTGTTTCAGCTTCATACTTTGCGATGTGCATTCTCCCTAGTTAGAATGTGATGTGGTAGAGGTCGTTTAGGATATGAATAATCTAGTTAGAGATATTGGCAACAAAAAAATGATGAAACTGGTGGGATACACTTGGATTATATCTCAATAGTCCTTCAATGGTTTTGTAAACTTTAGTTAATAGTGGTGAACGCTATACTTAGTCTGATACGTTCATCATGTTGACATGGTTTCATCTGCACTGTTAGCTTTCACTTTTGGCTCTCTTAGTGAATGCGACTAATATAGTTTTCTAATACAGTCCTCAAGTTACAATAGCTACAGCAATAATCTTCTGCCATCGATTCTTCATTCGGCAGTCACATGCAAGGAATGATAGAAGGGTGAGTATATGCTCTCTTTTTTTTTTTGCATACATAGTTAAATGCTTTTTTGCATACATAGTTAAATGCATACATAGAGATATTGGCGTACTCTTTGTTGTTCGAGTCAGTCTGGTGGAGTCTATTTAGCGCGAATTTGATGAGTTGAAATTGCTCCTTGATGTTGTTTTATGTTTATTGTCTCCATCTCTCTGCCACTTTCAAACTAGCTGATGCAGAAGATGAATTTACACTGATTTCTGCCATGG